TTATTTATTTATTTATTTATTTATTTATTTATTTATTTTATTCGGCTTATATGCCGCTCTATCTCCCAATGGACTCAGGGCAGCTCACAATAATAAAAACACAAGCCACAATACAAAATAATACAAAATAATACAGCTTGCAGGGGTGTGGACTTCCAGAATTCCCCAGCCAGCATGCTCATCTAGGTATTATGGGAGTTAAAGTCCACACATTTTGCCAAGGTTGAGAAACACTAGACATTCCAGATCATCTCCATTTAATTATCAATCAGAGCTAAGCACAGCCATTAAACTCACCTTCCTGTTAAACAAGGGAAATTTTCCAGATTGATTAGACATAGTTTATCACTAGTGATCAGCAATAAAGGAAATGCGTGGACATTTACTTCTTGCTGGTGTTTCTTATTTTAAAAATTCTTCAACTTAGAACCTCAGTTGAGCTCAGAATTTCCATTACTAAACAAGGCAGTTGTTAAGGGAGTTGTGCCTGATATTATGACCTAGCCATGATTGTTAAGTGAATCTTTTCAGTTAACTGAACCATGCGGTCATTAAACAAATCCATCTTCCCCTTGTCAGAAGTCTGGGAAGGGTGCAAATGATGATCCCACAACACTACAGCCATTATAAATGCATGCCAATTGCTTACTGCCAGTAGATAGCTGTTTTCTGACTATTTCCTTGCCTATATTTTGATGTGTACCTGCTCTACCTTTCTTGGTGCTGCTTTTGATAGGCTGGATATATTTATTTATTTTATTTATTTATTATTGATTGATTGATTGATTGATTGATTAATTGGTTCGATTTATAAGCCGCCCTTCTCCAGAGACTCAGGGCGGTTTACAATGCGTTAAGCAATAGCCTTCATACTTTTGTATATACCTGCTTAGTAGGGCTTTTGCCCCCCCCCCCCCAAAGCGGTGTTCTTTTTTATACAAAGTCAGCTTATTGCCGCCGCCCCCCCCCAATCCGGGTCCTCATTTTACCTACCTCGGAAGGATGGAAGGCTGAGTCAACCTTGAGCCTGGTGAGAATTGAACTCACAGTAATTGCAGGCAGCTGGCAGCTAAGTGCTACTTAACAGCACTTTAGTCCGCAGCGCCACCAAGGCTCTTCATTATTCATTATTTCTTCCAGGTACGAAGAAGGAATGGAGTAGTTCTGCTTTCTCCCTGCTGCCTGCCACCTTCTGGCCATCTGCTTCCATTAGTGGACTTATTGTTTCCTTGACTTTCTTCTTTATCCTTACATATTGAAAGCAGCTTTTTGGGGGGGTTTATTAGTTACTAGTCTTAGTTCACTCTGGGCCTCGTCTGGTCTCCCACTCCCTGCAGAGTTTGTTTCCCAGTTTGTGTCAGAGTAATTAAAGTCTTCCATTACTACGGTGGCATGTTTTCTGCATATTTCTGCTAACTAATTAGCAAACAGTTCATCTATTTCCTTTGGTTAGGTTTGTGGCCAACCAACCAGAGAAACTAGAATACACACTTACTGTATAGCAAAGTCATTTCTTTTTCCTCTAATATTTTCCCAAATACTTTCAAGAAAGATTTCAGGCTAGACTAGACTAGACTACACTAGACTACACTAGACTACACTAGACTAACTAGAGTAGAGTAGAGTGGAGTGGAGTGGAGTGGAATGGAATGGAATGGAATGGAATGGAATGGAATGGAATGGAATAGAATAGAATAGAATAGAATAGAATAGAATAGAATAGAATAGATAGAATAGAATAGAATAGAATAAGAATAGAATAGAATAGAATAGAATAGAATAGAATAGAATAGAATAGGAATTATTTATTGGCCCAGTGTGATCGGACACACAAGGAATTTGTCTCCGGTGCATAAACTCACAGTGTACCTATAAACAACAAGTAATTGTATTTTTCTGTGGAAGTGTAGTTATTTCTTACCCATAATGCAACCAGCTCATGTGAAATGTTACGGATAAAAGTGTTTTGTCCTTTCTCGGTTTCCTCCCACACTTTTAGCATGTTTTGGGTAATTTTAAAACCTGTTCGAAAGGTTTTTACTTTCTTTGCACAGCACGGAATAACTCCATAAGAAGCAATATAAAAATACATTAAAATGTTACGATATAAATCACTAAAGATAAAGATAACCTTTGTTTGATTTTGTTATCCTGAGATATCCAAAGGACATGGTTTATAGCTCTGGTTTTGCTAGGGCTGTTTGATCCACACAATACCTAAATTGCACCTTGCTTACGTTTTGTAGACCACCAATCAAGGTATAGCCATTTATTGTGCTATATTTCAGTAAACATAGTTCAATTACTTTAAAATCAATACCAAACCTTTCCCCCACTCCTTCACCCAGGGGTGGGCTTTTGGGGGTTCGTAGGGGTTCGGGAGAACCTCTAGCTAAGATTCTGTGCAGTTCAGAGAACCCCCAAATCCCACTCCTGGCTGGCCTCATCCACCCCTCTCCTCCCAGGAGTCCCCATGCGGCCCATTTTGAATGCAGATAAGTGCAGGGCGCACGTAGAGGCTCAGGGCGGGCAAAAAACGGGCCTACCAGAAGTTTGGGAAGGCCGGAAATGGGCCCGTTTCCGGCCTCCGGAGCCTGGGGAGGCTGTTTTCGTCCTCCCAGAGGCTCAAGGAGGACAAAAACGCCCCCCCTCGCTGTGGTGCAAGAGGCTGACTAGGCCACGCCTACCATGGCCACGCCCACCCAGCAACCTGGCAGAGAACCCCTTGCTAAAATTTTTGAAACCCACCCCTGCCTTCACCATAACACCTCTGCTTTTCACTCTTAAATATACACACCTTGTGTTTCTCTGTCTAGCAATCTCACTGGAATAGGAATCTGAAGGTTGGTCAAGATGATCCCCAGATGACTCAGTTCAACTCTTACTTAAATTCCTGTGGGTTGACAAAACTGAGTTGAATTCCAGAAGCAAAGCCTCATAAGGCCTCCCAAAGAGGCACTTAATATAACCATAGTTGTGCTTTGATGGCCTTTGCAGGCAATTGAGAGCTTTGAACACACAGCAGAAGATGGTGTAGCCCTAGTCCTGGTGATGTCACAATCCATCACGGATACAGACTTGGCTAATGCAGTGATGATGTATCTGGGTTTCAGAGACTGGTCTGCAAGCAAAGGGGCACACTAGAGGGGAACGGGGCAACTTGCCACAGCCAACTTGCTGAGGCCAAGTCGCCATGGCCAACTTGCAACAGCCAACTCATTATGGCCAACTCGCTGTGGGACCACTTGCCAACTCGCCATGGGAAAACTCACCGCAGGACAATTTTAACAATTCTATTTAATTATTTAAAATAAATTAAAAAATTATTCTAATTTTTAACATTCACATTTCATTCTCTCTCTTTTTGCATCCTTTCTTTAATGACTCTATTCCACCATATCTTTGATATCAGTGTAACTCTTTGTCTCTCAGTGAGCCGAGATGGCCGTGGCAAGTTGTCCTATAGCAAGTTGGCCATGGCAAGTTGGCGGTGGTTAGTTGGCCATGGCGAACAGTCATAGACTCCACTAGAGGTAGTGCAGTCAGATCATCTCTGCTTGATTTTAGATTTTCCTGCAAGGGAACCTACAGCCCAGAAACCTGATGGAGAACAGGAATATGTGAAAAGTAAAGTCTTCAGCTCAAATCTCAGCCAGCTGAAAAGTTGGGTTCTGATATCTCTCAACTCCATATCCTCCATCATATCAAAAAAAGATTTGGGCAGTCTCGCTCTCATTTTAGAAGTTTGCAAAAGTTTCTTCTTATCCAGTTTGGGATCCATTACTCCATTCCAATCACCCAACCAAATGAATGAATTATAATCCCATTGTAGTAATTTTGTATATATCAACTTGTAATACTTTTCTTGTTGTTGATTAGGTGCGTATACCCCCATTAAAAGTGTTTTCTTCCCTTCTATTAACAGCTCAATTGCCAAGTATCTTCCTTTTGATCTGCCTCAATTAATTTAGCCAATAAGTCTTTTCTCAAATATATCACTATCCCATTCTTCTTCTCAGGGGCAGACGCCACAAAATGAGCTCATGCTCAGCCAGCTGAAAAGTTGGGTTCTAAATCTAAATCTATAATGAAAGCACCATCCATCTTCATATTTTTCCTTCTTGGTTTCGGCTTATGAGTACAATAAGTGCAGGCACCCCCAAAAACCTCTCTGCCCGGTTGTAAGTTGCAAGCGCTTAAGAGTGTATATTGTACCGTATTTGGGTCTGTCCTGAAAAAGGACAATCACATGATCACAGTTGCCATCTTGACTTTAAAAAAAAACAAAAACCTACCCCACCATCAGGGTGGATTTGATTTAAATCAAGTTGATTTAAATCACAATTTAAATCATGATTTAAATCACTAGTAAAAAGGCTTGATTTAAATCAACTCGATTTAAATCAGAATTTTTAAAGAGCAACTGTCATCTCTGCTACTCCTTTGACCCACTGTTGACTCACCAATAGTCCCAGTGTTGCAGAATATACAGCCTCATGCTACATAACTAAGCTCCATTTCATGCTAAATAAACTAAATTATTTATGTATCTTAAATAGAAAACTATCTTACGATAGATTTTTACCCCAAAAGTTTTTTATTAAAATAAATTCAATAAAAGTCAAAAAAATCCGATTTAAATCAAAAAAATCCGATTTAAATCAAAAAAATCTGATATTTTTGATTTTTTTAAAAAAATCATTGATTTTTATCCACCCTGCCCACCATCCCTGCAATATATATTTCTGAACCCTACTACTGTGGGGGTTTGCTGAATATATACCTTATTCTTTATTTGTAATAGCAAACACAATTTTCATGTTCAGAGGCAAGTGATCTAAGATGTGAATATAGGAAATTATCTTTTGAGAGTCGTCCAAGAATGTTAACTCTTTGCTCTACACTGGAGTGGAAAAATGGGGAAATCATGTTTAAAAAGATCTTTAAATAACAAAAGAATAATTAATAAATAGTATGCATTGTTTTCTTCCTCTCCATAGGTAGAGATGTCACCAGGGATGGGATTCAGCTGATTCGGATTGGTTCTATGCCCCAGCGCTATGCTGTCCTATTTAGCTGCATTTAAGCCACGCACATATGTGCAAGCACGCAAACAAAGCGCATGCACAAAAGGTTGCACGCATGCATGGAAGGCGCACACGCTCACATTTTCGGTGCTGGGGCGAAACTGGTTGTTAATCCAGGTGCCTCCCATTTCTGGATGTGACTACAATTGTGGGTTGAGCTCATGATGCTTTTTTTGGTGTCGTATCTCCCTCTGCTGGACATTCGTTAATACTTATCTTGACTAAAATTACAGTCTTCTCACACAGGCAAGCCAGATGTTCAGATTGGATTTGGCATTTTTTATCCACCTATCAAGTCCTTCCGAAGGACTGGGATAAGCAGATGTTGATATTTAATGGTGTTAAGAGGCATCGTCGCAGGATGTAAGCTGTTCCAAGTAAAGCTTACTATTATCATGGTCTGTAAACCCAGGATTTCTAATCCGGAAAATCAATATTGCAGCGTCGTACAGTGTTACTATATTCAAATCAAAGCAACTGAATTGAATTGAACTCACAGGGTTAGAATTTTGGGGCAAAATAGGATCCCAACACCAGGAGGGATTTCCAAAACTTTGTAGTAAGAGAATAAAAGGGTTAGTGACATAATGAAAGAAAATATCACAGATCAAGAATATTTTTAAGAAGATCTGCCCCTCCTCAACTCTTTGTGAATCTTGTAATTCTGTTCGCAAGTAGTGTGCTGTTTAAATCAATCATCTTGTTGGACCAAGCCAATAAAAAAAATTCAGAACCACAAAATCCAGCATCCCAAACATGAAATGTTCAGGGCCTGAATAATTTTGTCACACAGAATAAGTAACAAGCCACAGCACATGAAGCAAAACAGGTGTGCCAGCAGAAAGGTAGAATATATATTATATACACAGTCATCTGCACCTCTATAACTGTCTGGTTTGGTTCTGCAACCCAACAAGACAGGTACAGACTTCAGAGGATAATTAGAACTGCAGAAAAAACAATGGCTACCAACCTGCATTGAGGACCTGTATACTGCACGGATCAAAAAGAGGGCTGTGAAAATATTTATAGACCCCTCACATCCTGGATATAAATTGTTTCAACTCCTACCCTCAAAACGACTATAGAGCACTGCACACCACGACACAAGGACTGTTTTTTCCCGAATGCCATCACTCTGCCAAACCACTAATTCCTACAACACTGTCCAATTAACTACTAAGACTGTACTAATTCTTCTTCTCATCCTTCCTAGTACCTATCTCTTCCCACTTATGGCTATAACCATATTGCTTGTATCTTTACAACTTATATTTTCATTGTTTCCTAGTATGATTTGATTGCTTATTAGTATCCTATGACTATCACTAAGTGTTGTATCTTATGATTCTTGACGAATATTTTTTTTCTTTTATGTACACTGAGAGCATATGCACCAAAACAAATTCCTTGTGTGTCCAATCACACTTGGCCAATAAAGAATTCCTATTCTATTCTATTCTATTCTATTCTAGTCTAGTCTAGTCTAGTCTAGTCTAGTCTAGTCTAGTCTAGTCTAGTTTAGTCTAGTCTAGTCTAGTCTAGTCTAGTCTAGTCTAGTCTAGTCTAGTCTAATTCTAATTCTAATTCTAATTCTAATTCTATTCTATTTTCACGATCAAGAATATATCATGAATAACATGAATGGCACAAAGACCTCAACTACCTCATAAAAAAGTGAAGCAGCAATGTCCACAGAGTGTGTGAAAAGGCCATGAAGATGGTGTATGCCACCCAGACTCACTTGTTGAGATGGCTATAAAAATCAAATAGCAAATTTTCAAGAAGTACACAGGTAATCCTTGACTTACAACAGTTCATTTAGTGACTATTCAAAGTTACAACAGCAATGAAAAACTGACCCGGCCATTTTTCACAGTTATGACCTTTGAAGTATCCCCGTGATCATGTGACCAAAATTCAGATACTTGGCAACTGGTTCATACTTAATGACCGTTGCGATGTCCCAAGGTTATGTGGTCACCTTTTGCGACCTTTTGACAAGCAAAATCAATGGGGAAGCCAGATTCACTTAACCAAGTTACTAACTTATCAACTACAGTGATTCACTTACCAACTGTGGCAAGGAAGGTGGTAGAATGGGGTAAAACTCACTTAACAACAGAAATGTTGGGCTCAATTGTGGTCGCAAGTTGAGGACCACCTCTAGAGTTGAAGCTTTGACTGCTTTTATATGCAACATTTGGACTTTTTCTGGCCACTCAATAGGAGCTGCATCCATAAGACAAGATGGAGGAAATGGGTTGTGATTTGAGGCCCCACAGTGCAACATCTTGGGACTTTTACACACATACACACACACATACATAGCACATACATCATAGATGTTGCTGCTCAATAGCAACTTATGAAGTAAAGAGAAAAGGGCGGAAATCTTTCTGCATGATAAAATTATAGAATTCTTTATTTATGAATCCATTGTATTTTTCAGCTGCCCTGTAACACTTGCTTTCTGCGTAGATTACATGGGGAAAAAAAAACATTACAGAGTGCACTAGACTCATATACCTGCTGCTTTTAAAACTTTGAAAGCTATCCAGTAGCTTTTTCGACTGATCAAACTTGCAAAAAAAAAAAAAATGCTGCTCTAAGTAGACCTTTGACCTGACCCAACACTCTCTGAGGTTAACATCCCAATGCAGTGTGGCCTTTTATTTATTTTTTTTAAATATGATACACATAACAAATATGGTACTATGTCCAGCCAGGAATAAATAAATGCAGAAAGCACTTCTAGCTAGATTCTTTGTATTATACACATGCATTTTCATTTGGCTGCTTTATAAATAAAAATCAAACGTGAGATCACATTTTCCCATCTTCTGCTTGTACACTAAATCAAATTTCTCATTCATCGAGACAGTGAAGATATCTTTCCACAGCCCAATTCGTCCTGAAAGATAGAAAAAAAAAAAAAAGGAAGGGAACAGAGGGAGGGGAAAAAAATATGCCGATTATTATAAGATGTAGAAGACCTTTCAGAAGAACAAAAACCTGCCATAAATCACCCTGCGAATTGCAGAATCTTTTGGCCACTCTAAATCTGGAAAGGGAAATCCCCAGTCCTGCAACAGCAAAAAACAAATCCAAAGGAAAGGTTTGCCATCAGGAGTGTGGGAATTATACCTTTATCAATCAAAGAGTTGAGACTTAAAACTTCATACAATCCAGTTCTATCTAAAATGTGAAGATCTGGTTGTCCTGCACTGGATTGCCTTCATCATCTCTCCATCAATTCTCTCTCAGCATATACCCCATCTACCGTGGTCCAGCTTCCATTGCCCCTGCTTGTTGACATCTCTGAAAACCATGGAAGGAGACGGCAAAGAAAGCCAAGGTGGTATTCAACCATGGGATTGCCCTGCTCCCTTTCCCCACCACTTGTTTCACTCTGTCCCTCCAGAAATAATACTGCTGGAAGCTACAAAGCTGCATCTTAAGTCTTCTGGTTAAAATCAAGTACTGGATTCTGTGTCAGTGGTGAAATTCAAATTTGTTTGCTACCGGTTCTGTGGGCGTGGTATGGCTTGGTGGGCATGGCAGGGGAAGGATATTGCAAAAGGAGCCTGGTGGCGCAGTGGACTAAACTACTGTTAAAGTAGTATTTAGCTGCCAGCTGCCTGCAATTACTGCGAGTTCAATTCTCACCAGGCTCAAGGTTGATTCAGCCTTCCATCCTTCCGAGGTAGGTAAAATGAGGACCCGGTTTGTGGGGGCAATAAGCTGACTTTGTATAAAATAGAACACCGCTTGGGGGGGGGGCGAAAGCACTACTAAGCAGGTATATAAAAAAGTATGAAGGCTATTGCTTAAAAGCATTGTAAGCCGCTCTGAGTCTCCGGAGAAGGGCGGCATATAAATCAAACTAATAAATAAAAATATATATATATCCATTCCCTCCCCACTCCTGGGGGAAGGATACTGCAAAATCTGCATTCCCACCCCACTCTGGGGCCAGCCAGAGGTGGTATCTGCTGGTTCTACGAACTACTCAAAATTTCCGCTACTGGTTTTCCAGAACCTGTTGGATTTCACCCGTGGTCTGTGTACAGTTAAAATAGCAGATGTTATTACAGCTGCCAACTCCGAGGACATTTGAAATGCACTGAACCACTTGTAGAACACTATGGAGATGGCCTTGACGCCATTATGTAAACATCAACTTAGCCCTGGAAGGGGGGAGAGAGTGAGGAAGAAACCAAAGATGCCTTGATTTTCTTGGGTATAAAACAAATAAGAGAGAAACTCTTATCAAGTTTTCCAGATCCAGTTGAACAATATCAAGATCCTCGAACTATGAAGCAGAGTTCCAGTGGTTCTGGTCTGCAAAGGGTGAACCTCTTGAGAAAAAACAACCAAAAACTGGAAAATCAGTGGGCCTGGAGGTAAGTAGCAAGACACCGGCTTCCGTCTTTGCAACTTTTGATACCTGCTCTTAAATATAAACCAGTGATGAAATGTAAAATTTGTTACTACCGGTTCCGTGGGCGTGGCTTGGTGTGTGTGAGGGGGGTAATATGACTGAGTAGGGGTGGCCAACTTTTTTTTTTTTTACTTTTAAAACCATTTTTTCTACAACCTCTTTGGCTGAAGAGGTTGTAAAAAGAATGCTTTTAAAAGCCTCTGACGATCCCAGCTGAGTTGCCTGATCGGCAGAGGCTTTTTTTTTTTTAAAGCTTCTGGTGATCCCAGCTGACTTGCCTGATCAGCAGCTTTTTTTTTTAAAGCCTCTGATGATCCCAGCTGAGCCACGCGATCATCAGAGGCTTTTTTTTTTTACTTTTAAAAGCATTTTTCAGCCAAAGAGGTTGTAGAAAAAGTGCTTTTAAAAATTAAAAAAAAAAAGCCTCTGATGATTGCACGGCTCAGCTGGGCAATGGGGGGTAGGCAGGGATTTTTGCTACCGGTTCTCCGAACCACCCGCCTTCATCGCTACCGGATCGGGCGAGCCGGTCCAAACCGGGAGCATTTCACCCCTGATATAAACCATACTAAACCACATTCGATGTGCAGATATTTCAGCAAAGTTTGGATTTGATCTTCCACTTAAATCACCAAAACATTAGATCCCGTTGTAATAGGTTGCAAATACAGTGTATGAGTTTACTTTCTGGTAGCCATTTTGGACAGCTGGTCAAAGAGTCACCCACCTGGGTTCATTCATGATTTGATTCATGAAACTGGTTTGGGAGGTTGAGTGGGAAGGAAGGTGAGCTAACCAAGAGCCCGTTTTCTCAGCAACTGAGAGTGAGCTTCTGGGCAAAGATCAATAAGCTAAAAGGAAAACAAAATAAAAATGAACAAAAACAAAGCGAAATAAATAGGAAAAATGTACATTGCGATAAACCAAATTAAATTAAGCTAAATGAAAAAGTTAAAACGGGCCACAGTTTTTTAAAGCATGGAAACACATTTAAAGAAACAGCAAGAAAAAAAACACCTTGATGTTCAGGATGCATTTGGAAAAAAGAAAAAAAAATTGTTACAAATGTGAGAAAGATGAACAAAAACAAACAGGGTGCAGAAAAAGCAGGCAATGTGCAAATGCAATAGATTTAAATACTCGGGGGGGGATCTTTCTTATATGGCATTCATTGTGAGGTTAGTATAATGTGCTCAGGACCAAATGAAGGAGAACTAAAACAATTCTGTATTTTGGTTAACTTTGGTTTTGAGGGAAAGAAGCAGAGCTATGGCAGGGGAAGCGTTCAAAAAGTCAAGGGAATGATCATGCATGTGGGATCAAAGCTCTGCCTCCTTTTATATGTACATTGCTCCCAGATGGACACTCCTGGAACCATGATTACTCCTGCTGCACACCATCATAGGGATTATTTCTGGTTACCTAGTGTTACAGATGTTAGTGGGGAAAACAAACAAAGAGTATTACAGATGCATAAACGTATTCCCCTCTCAAAGCAGTTCTTTCAAGTTTCAACTTTTATGAAAGAGTTCTCACATTCTGGGAAAACTAGTTTAAACAATTCAAGGTTGAAGCATTTCAAATATGCAACCTTTCATGAAGCACCAATAAACTGCATTCGTCTCAGGAGCATCGAGACGCTTTACCGGGTTGAAAGGATTAGCTGGTGACATCCACATTGCCCGGGGACGCCCAGTTGGGGGTTTCTTTTATGTCCCCATTAAGGAGCTGGAGTGAAGGACGGGAACTCAACCCTGCCCCGAGGCAGGTCTCAAACATGGGCTTGCTAACCTCCAACACAGCATCCTAACCGTTCGAATGACGGTGCTCCTGAGCACCGATAAAAAAGTAGCCATGATAGTGAGGTCTCTGGCACAAACTAGTTGTGGCAGTGTAGGGAAGAAGATATGTGTCAGTTATTAGGAAATCATAAATTTAGTCCAGAAAAAAACAGGAAAGGGTGAGAACGAAATCAAGATAAACGCACTCTGATATAACAAGGAGGGAGGGGAAGGCTGTCAGACTTTCAAGATTCTGTTACTACACTCTATATCAATAAAGAAGTGTGCAGGCAGTCTTCCACATACAACCATAATTGGGACCGCATTTCCCGTCATAATTCTTTACTTCGCCAAGGCACCATTGTGATGGGACCCAATTTTACATTTTTTACAGTGGTTGTTAAGCGAATCCACTGTGGTTAAGAATGCCACTGCGCCACCACTGAGAGCAATAGCGGAACAGTGGTTAGAATGCAGTATTGCAGGCTAATTCAGCCCATTGCCAGCAGTTCGATTCCCACCGGCTCAAGGCTGACTCATCTTTCCATCCTTCCGAGGTTGCTAAAATGAGGATCCAGATTGTTGAGGGCAATATGCTGACTCTGTAAACTGCTTAGAGAGGGATGTAAAGCACCGTGAAGCAGTATATAAGTTTAAGTACTATTGCTATTGATATTAAGTAAATGCTAGGGTCATTTGTGCAATCCCGTTCTTTCAAATGGGCAATTTCTCTGCTAGAAGCAAATAATATAAAACAATCGTGGTCACATGACCACGGGATGTTACAACCAGTCATAAAGGTGAGCTGGTTGCTGAGGGCCTGGAATTCAGTTCATGTAACGGGGATTGGCACATTTTAAAATGGCCATAAAGTGCTTTATGGGTAATAACGCACCTGTTCAGCACTTATCATAATTTCAAACAGCTGTTAAGCAACTGGTTGTAAATTGAGAACTACCTTTTTCATTATGGCATCTTTTTTTCCTGATCTAGCTACCTGAAACATGGACAAAGTAGCATTTCAGTGAATTTTATACATCAAAGTCCTCTGATCCCATAATAAGAGAAGGAACAGTTTTAAAGTTTATAAGCAGAAGAGAAGTGCCAATTTGCCAAGCAGCGTCCAGACATCCATGAGTTCGCTTTGGCCCTCTAACCAAACGGCAATTAAAACGTTCAGCTGGTCATCTCCAGCCAAAGAAATTAAATCTGTCTTGGCAACTTAAGACTTCAACTCCCAGAACTCCCTAGCCAGTCCACACATCTAAAAAGCTGCCAAAGTTGAGAAACACTGGATTAGATGTTCACTTTCATCTGTCCCTGTATCTTTAATCTAAGCCAGTGTTTCTTAACCACGGCAGCTTTAAGATTTCTTCAGTTCTGGGCAGTGGTGGGATTCAAATAATTTCACAACCGAAACTCTGCCCTAATGACTGGGTGGGTGGGTGTGGCCATGGTGGGCGTGGCCAGGGGGTGTGACAGGCAGCACTCAGCCTCCTGCACCCTCTGAGAGCAAAAATGGGCCATGGGGGGGGGGACACACACCCCGTGCCCCGTTTCAGCCTACTAGGCCTCCTTATAGCCACCTGGGAGTGAAAATGGGCTGTGGGGGAGTGAAAATGCCCGCACCCCATTTTGGACCTAGGCCACTTCCCTGAAGCCTCCTGAGAGCAGAAATGGGCCACGGGGGGCACCGCTCCCACTGCGCCCCCCGTTTTGGGCCTAGGAGGCCTCCTTGCAGCCTCCTGGGAGTGAAAATAGGCTGCGAGGGAACTCCTAGAAGGGAAGGGGAGGGGCAAAGAGGGGCCAGCCAGCAATTTAACTACTGGTTCACCCAAACGGGCTGAATCCCACCACTGGTTCTGGGACTTAAAGTCATGAAGTTGCTGAGGCTGGGAAGAAAACAAATCCATACATTCAGTGCTCTAAATTATAATTCTTCTGGTGATAACACTTGCATGTTTTAAATCCCTCAAAATTAAACAAAAACAATTCTAAGCCCACAGGATTTAAAGGCTTCCCGAACGATGGCTTTCCATGATCAGTAAATCCACCTTATTCCCATCTACCCTCTAATTTCTATTTTATTTTTTTTTATTTATTTTTTTAGCTTCAGACTGATTGACTAAACCATGGTTCAGGTTTATAGCCCAATTCTTTGTCTTCAAACTACTCTAAGCAATTAGCATTGAAAAAAGGACAACCGCTACGCTTTCCACTCATGTCATAAAAGTGGATTACCATTAAAGCCATTCCACCTGTGCGAACCTTTGCAAAGGGTCTGACACCTACCCCTGCCCACTGAAAGGGCATCGGCATTGCAGCACTGATCAATGAGCTGGTGACAATGTTCAACCATCGATTCCAACTGTGCTTTGTCGTAGGCGATGCCCAAGAACCTCGCTAGCTGTTCAACCAGGGTTGCAAGATCCTGTGAGAGAAGAGGATATTGACTTGCGGAGAAGAAATTAGTCAAAAATAAGGCAGTTCAAAAAAAAGTACATTCCGGTTACCAGTTATTGCCCAAAAAAATATTGATGCAGGCTTAGCAAGAACAGCTTCTTATATATGTTAAATCAGTGGCCCCCAACCCTTGGGGCACCAGGGACTGGTTCCATAGAGAGAGATTTCTCCCCGGACCGGAGGGGCCGTGGTTGGGAATGGGACAACTTGCCCCAGCCAACTTGCAGTGGCCAACTCACTGCAGGACAACTTGCCACAAACAACTCACCATGGGGCAATTCACTTCAGGACAATTTAACAATTTTGTTTAATTATTTAAAATAATTTTTTTAAAAAAATATTTTTGCCATTCACATTTCCTCCTTTTGCATCCTTTCTTTAATGATTCTATTCCACCATTTCTTTGATAGTAGTGTAACTTTGGTTCCACAATAAGTTGTCCTGTGGTGAGCTGGCCATGTCAAGTTGGCCATAGCGAATGGTTATAGACCTCCATGGTTTCTTGTGCTGCCTGCATCCCACGGATGGAGCTTCACTTGTTTACGTGACTCGGTTTCTAGCATGCCGCAGACTGGTGCAGGTCCACAGACTGGGTGCTGGGGATCCCTGGGTTAAATCATCCTTTGGTTGGATCAATAGGGATAGATTGAATAGGCCAAGGAATCACCCTGAGTTCAATTCCCCAAAGAGCACTGGGGCTTGAATATGTCACTTGTTCCCAACCTTTTAAAAACAGCTTGGTCAATTTGTTTCAGGAGCTTAGCCTAGGTCAGTGATGGCTAACCTTTTTGCCATCATGTGCCAAAAGTGGGGGGAGTGCGGGGGAGTCGTGCTTGTGCCTGCCCACACCCATAATGCAATGCACCCCGCCCCTTAGAAAGCCTCGAGCCTAGGGAGAGTGAAAAACGGGCCTTCCCCACCCCCGGAGGCCCTCTAGAAGTCAGAAACAGCCTGTTTCCCGACTTCCGGTGGGCCTGGAAGGCCCGAAAATCAGCTGGCCAGCACACACATGTGCACTGCAGCTGAACTAGGGCAATGCTCGCATGCCCACCAATATGGCTCCGCGTGCCACTTGTGGCACCCGTGCCATAGGTTCGCCATCACGGCCCTAGGTAGTTCATCAGGTAGCAATGGCTTCTACTCCTATTTTAAATAATCAGACTATTTTTGTAGAGACATTTTAATTTTTATTTCTGCGCGTAGATTTAAGAGAGCTGGGGCTGCACCTGCAGGCACCATCGTTTCTCTCTGTTTATATTAGTAAATATATTTTGGTTTAATGGCTTTGCTGCTAGACTTGAAGCTAATTCTTTTTAAATTATATTCCACTATTTTACTTTCTTTTTGATGTGAGTCAGAAGTTTGAGGAAAAAAAAATCCCTAGGGAAAAAAAAACTTTTAAAAATTATGTAACTTTATCTATGTGTTGCATTAAAGCTAGCAGCTGAAAAGTTAACTCTGCAACTTTAAAAATATATATATAAACATTAAAAAAAAGTTGTCTAAATTGTATTTTAAAATGTAAGTAGCATTTACATTTATTCAATAACATTTAGCATACTGTGCTGGGTTTCTGTACCAGAAATGGCCAGTTAATGTACAAATGTATGTCATGTCTACTTAAATTGTTCTTTTTTTAAAATAAAGATGCAGCATCTTATATTTACATTCAGTTTTATCAGATTTCTGTGAAGGGATGCTGCATTCTAAGACTTTTATAGGTTTAGAATCTGTATGATGTGGTTATAGTAATTTCCTTTCTAGGATGAAGTGAAGGCCTTTGCTGCAGACCCAGATACTACTCTTTTTGCAATTAAACAAAAAATTAGTGGTCAACCTAAAAAAAAAACAGCTTGGTCATTTCCCGAGTTCACAGAAGAGCTGCAGAATCAAGACTGAACCCACCATATTGCCATAATATGTGAAGAGGGTCTTCTGAATAATTTGCAACCGCAAGTGTTTTAAGACAGAGGAATGGGCCAAACCTCCTGAAATGTTCTAATCGTGAATTGTGCTATCTTAATCTCAGTTACGCTGCAATATTGGAAGTTCTCATCCCAACTTTGTCAGATGTGATCTCAACATGGAAGGTTCCCAACCGCAAGACTGAGAAGATAGAAGGTCCCTTTGTTGACTGAGAAACACTTCCACTGAAGTTGGAATCCAGCTGCTTCACCTGCAACCATTTTTGGAATTCTGACTGCTGGTACATCAACCTGGAAATTGAAATGTAGCTACAACTGCTATGAAGCCCCGTTACTTTGTCAATGTTCCTCAAATTGTAGAATAGAATAGAATACCAGAGTTGGAAGGGACCTTGGAGGTCTGCTAGTCCAACCCCCTGCTTAGGCAGGAAAACCTATACCATTTCAGACAAATGGTTATCCAATCTCTTCTTTAAAACTTATGATGTCATTGACATGTGCAAGTCAACTATTTGCAAATCAAAAGAGGAGCAAACAGCTGACCTTGCAGCCACTCTCCAAAGAAATATAAACATCTGGCTGTTAAACTCTGGGGGCTTTAAAACAGCACGCATACAACTGCCATTTCATTGTGGAAGTAGAACCTGAACAATATTTCTAACAAAACCCAAAAACCCATGTTCTTCCTGCTCCTTGCTCCTTCTGTGCCAACAGAATTTTAAATCTATTTTCTTCCATTTGCTGTATTTTAGTTTTTGTAAACCAACCAAAGGCATTTTCATAAATTGCAAGTAATCACAATGATAACGAATCAAGATAGCCATTCATAAAGAGCAGGTTAAAATAGAAGCGAAGCATAAACCTATTAGAACAACAAATAAATCCTAACAGCTAAAATCAAAATGAAAATGAAAGAAACCGTACCCTTAAAATTTAAAGCAGGTGTGGGGGTAAATGATCAAATCATACACTTTATTTGTTTTGTTAAACATATTAACTTATTTGTCTGATAGCCCAGGAACAAATAGTTTACCAAACTCCTGGCACTGAAAGTAATAAAACATTGGACTGTAAGTGATGTTACAGTAGTGGCCAAAATTGTGGAAACCTTTTGGGAAAAGTGTATTTTGGAGGTTTGATGGCTAATAACACCACTTTTTTTTTGGCGTTTCAACATAATCATATTCCACTGCTGGAATGGCCTGGGAATAGCCCAGAACTTCACCCAATTGAAAATCTATGGAGCCGACTAAAGAAACTTGTTAGTCAGAAGCAACCCAGCAATAAAACCCAGTTAATAGAAGCCATCATTCAATCTTGGTTTCACATTAGAACAACTGCAGAACTAAAAGACGTGGTTCACTCCATGGGAAGATGTTGTAAGGCCGTAATTCATGCTAAAGGTTACCCAACAAAGTATTAACTGACATGGTGATCATTTTTGTATATCTCATTTTTTCTACGTGTTTCACTTTTCTTCTTTATACTGTAACTGCTATTCTAATAGCAAATCCTTCATAAAAGTTATTGCATTACATTCTTGATTAAATTATCTTTCCATTGATATTTAATTTTATGGTACTACTCCAAAAAAAAGTGGTGTTATTAGCTAGTTTTAGAAAATATACTTTTTAAACCAAGGTAAAATTAACCCAGCTAAAATTCCAAGAGGGGGAAACCCCTCACCCCCGTCTCTGTCTCTTGCCAAGTTTGTGATCTTGCTTCAAAGGAACCAAGGGTGAGGGGACACAACACTTTTTGCTTACAGGTTGGGGGAAAATCTTTGCTATGCTTAGATAATTACCTTGTGCATATCTTCATATTTGAGAAAGAGCACATTGGAATCCATATGATGCTGCCAAAATTCTTGGACATGTTCAAACCATGAACCATAACCTACTATAGAGACAGAAAACACAATAGCTCATACTCAAGATTTTTTTAAAAAAAATATTGTTGTTATTGGGCAAACTTTCACTGGAATACAAAAAAACTCATCATATTGCATTTTTGTTTTGTTCTCAAAATATGAAAGGTGTGTATTCTTATAACAAAATCCAACGGAATAAAATAACTCCAACTGGCCTTACTCCCACAATGACAACATGGTAATCTTATCTTGTATCATTCCTGGATTTCCTAGGAGGGTATGGTGTCCTGGGCATCACTGGGGCCAACTGGCAAGGGTATAGCATGGCTTTTCCCCCTTTCTAAAATTGCTGGATGGCAGGGAAAAAGTAGACTCCTTAAGACACGTAAAGTCTGCTTCCCCCAAATTTGACTTGGATTGAAGACCTCACTCTGGGGAAGAAAGTCTGAATGGTCCACTTTTAGAAGACAAGTGGACCATTCAGATGTTCTTCTCCAGGGTGAGGTCTTCAGTCCAGGTCAAGTTTGGGGGAAGCAGATTTTTCGTGTCTCAAGGGGTCTACATTTTCCCTAACATTCTAAAAGACCTTCAGAAGTCAAGTAGACCATTCCGATGTTCTTCTCCAGGGTGAGATCTTCAAGATTGGGGGAAGCAGACTTTTTGTGTCTCAAGGGAGTCTACCATCGAGCAAACAAGCTGTTAATTTGCAGTGGAAGGGGTTATATGGAACAGGAGAGGACTTTGCCAGAGTCTTTCCTGCTCAGATCTATTGTTTGACCAACAGAGGTTCATGCGGCGGGAGGTTTTCCTGCATGAGATGACTGGTTGCAACATTATGTTGCAACAGTGGTTGCAACATAATGAGGAAACAAACAGTGGTTGCAACATAATGAGGAACCAGGGGTTGCAGTCAAGCATTATGTTCTCGGGAGTATCTGAAGAAGGAATCAAAGTATGTCAGATGTGGCCACAGTGCCACAATCAAAGCCTCCCCTTCCGTACATTAGTGCATCATAAAAAACTGCCAGGGTTTGATAGCGATTCAGTGCCTGCCATCTCACAGGTTTTGATCTGCTCCAAGATAATCAAATTACAATCATGTGTTTAACAATCTTTCTAAGTTTAAAGGACTGGTGATTTATGACCAGTCCTCACACCCCCAATTGTTGCAGTATCACTTCAGTCATCTGATCACAATCCGGATGCATGGCAATTAGTTTACAATTAGACCAGTTGTAGCATCCTGATTCACATGAACGCTATTTGCAACCTTCGTACCCAGTTTCTCACAATAAATCAGGGTGGATAAAAATCAATGATTTTTTTAAAAAAAATCAAAAAAATCAGATTTTTTTGATTTAAATCGGATTTTTTTTATTTTTATTGAATTTATTTTAATAAAAAACTTTTGGGGTAAAAATCTATCATAAGATAGTTTTCTATTTAAGATACATAAATAATTTAGTTTATTCAGCATGAAATGGAGCTTAGTTATGGAGCATGAGGCTGTATATTCTGCAACACTGGGACTATCGGTGAGTCAACAATGGGTCAAAGGAGTAGCAGAGATGACAGTTGCTCTTTAAAAATTATGATTTAAATCGAGTTGATTTAAATCAAGCCTTTTTACTAGTGATTTAAATCATGATTTAAATTGTGATTTAAATCAACTCGATTTAAATCAAATCCACCCTGCAATAAAGTCAACGTCAATAGCAGGGAAGAACACAAGTCACGATCACTAATGTCTTGCTTAGCCACCACAGCAAAAAGGTCACATAAAATTATGTGCGATCACATGATTCCTCACTTAACAACCTCACAATGACTAATTTTCTGGTCCTGATTGTGCTATGCCTGGCAAGGATTCTCTGTACGGCTAAACCCCCCCTCCCTCCATGAGTCTGTGGGACCTAGATCAGAGGTGGGCTGCTGGGGGTTCGGGAGAACTTCTAGCTAAGATTCTGTGCAGTTTGGAGAATCCCACTCCTGGCTGGCCCCACCCACCCTGCCCCGCCCTTCCCAGGAGTCCCCACACGGCCTGTTTTGGATGCAGGTAAGTGCAGGGCGCGCGTGGAGGCTCAGGGAGGGTGGAAAACAGGCCTATCGGAAGTTCGGAAAGGCCATTTCCGGCCTCCAGAGGGCCTCCAGAACCTGAGGATCACATGGTGCTAAATGTGCCCATATCCAACCTACAATTTGCCAGCTAACATCCCCTTTAGCTCTGAAAAGGTCACCCTGCCTTTTCAAAGCAAAGCCTGTCCTCAAAGCTCAGAGAGCGTCTACTCTCATCCCTTATATCAGGGGTCCCCAACCCAGGGGTGAAATGCTCCCAGTTTGGACCGTATCGCCCGATCTGGTAGCAATGGCGGCGGGTGGTTCGGAGAACCGGTAGCAAAAATCCCTGCGCCCCCCCCAATGCCCAGCTGAGCCGCACGATCATCAGAGGCTGTTTTTTTTACTTTTAAAAGCATTTTTTCTACAACCTCTCTGGGCGATAAAATGCTTTTAAAAAAAAAAAAAAAAAAAAGCCTCTGATGATCGTGCGGTTCAGCTGGGATGGTCAGAGGCTTTTAAAAGCATTTTTTTTCTGCAAAAAAAAATGCCTTTAAAAGCTTCTGGCGATCCAAGCTGAGTTGCCTGATCGTCAGAGGGTTTTAAAAGTATTTTTTTCTGCAACCTCTTAAGGTTGTAGAAAAAATGCTTTTAAAAGTAAAAAAAAAAAAGTTGGCCACGCCCACCCAGTCACATTACCCCCCACCACCAAGCCACGCCCACAGAACCAGTAGTAACAAATTTTAGATTTCACCCCTGCCCCAACCTGTTGGCTGCAGCCCATGAGTGGGCTGTGAGGGGTTTGCAACTGTGCCATAGAAACGGCAGGAAAGTGCGTGCACGCATCCTGACTCAGCGGATGAGTGGGTGCATGTGTGCTCCATTTGCGTGAGCGGCAGGCACGTGCACACCACTCGCGCAAATGGAGCTGCATGCAAACTTGCCAGCTGCTTGTGCAAACCATCCCATCCTCTACCTTGCCCAGAAATGTTGGGAAACTGCCTTAGATGGCAAGTTAACGCCTATCTTAAAAGTTGCTGGGGTTGAGAGAGGCTGCCTTAGATGGCAAGTTAATACCCCAAGCCACATGTCCTATGGTTCCTGCACGAGGTAAAACAGAATGAAAGATATTGCTTAACAAAACAGATGGGAAATTCTTACACTTATCGTTCATAAATCTCCGACAGAACTCCTGAAATGTTCCTCTGTAGCTCATAGTTCGCAGGGAGCGATGAAACTGGTAATAGGAGACGACCAGATCTTTGGGATTACGAGCCATGTATATGATCTAGGGAGATGAAAAGCAATTCGTTGGGCAGAATGCTCCCTCCACCCCATCTCCCTGGGTCAGAAAACCTGGTTAACGCAGATGACCGGTGAAGGCTACCTTGGATTCGCCGCTATGCAGGTCAGAAGGCAAGAAGCGGTACGGCAGGTGGCTTTTGATCAGGCGAGGAGATGTCAGTTCCTGTAATGTGCAGGGAAGAACATGAAGGCTCAGGGTTGACAAAGGCCAGCCTAATAAATATTCAAACATGTCCCCCCAAAAAGGGGGGCAAGGGGGGGACAAACATGTCCCCCCCAAAAAGGGGGGACAATAAGAGGTAAAAAGGAATGAATAAAAAGTCAATTTTCTTGGTGGAGGAACTGTGTGTATCTGAGGAGTTGAAAGGTCTAAGCTAGGGGTGTCAAACTCAAGGCCTGCGGGCCTCATCTGGCCCGCGGGGTATTTAGATCTAGCCCACGGGGCCACCCAGGAAACAGCGAAGGACCAGCCCACAGTGCCTCTGCCAATGAAAAGGGAGCTCGGCAGGGCTGCCTCCTGCAACCTTCTGCCAGCAAAAATGGAGCTCACACAGCCTTCCCAAGCTCCGTTTTCACTGGCAGAGCGCTCGGGCCACCACAGGTGCCCCTGACACGAGTGACGTTGAGCTGGCCACACTCACCCTGGCCACACCCACCCACCCAAGGTCAAACACAATCCTGATGAGGCCCTCAATGAAATCGAGATTGACACCCCTGGTCTAAGCCAATGTTTCTCAAACTGGGCAGCTTAAGAGGTGTGAACTTCCAACTCCCAGAATTCCCCAGCCAGCAGAGATTTATTTATTTATTGGTTCGATTTATATGCCGCCCTTCTCCGGAGACTCAGGGCGGCTTACAATGCGTTAAGCAATAGCCTTCATACTTTTGTATATACCTGCTTAGTAGGGCTTTCGCGCCCCCCTAAGCAGTGTTCTTTTTTATACAAAGTCAGCTTTTTGCCCCCACAATCCGGGTCCTCATTTTACCTACCTCGAAAGGATGGAAGGCTGAGTCAACCTTGAGCCTGGTGAGATTTGAACTTGCAGTAATTGCAGGCAGCTGGTGCTACTTAACAGCACTTTAGTCTGCTGCGCCACCAAGGTTCTTATTTAAGTACACAACTCTTAAAATTGTGAAAGGTGGAAAACTTTGGTCTAAAGTGTTGTTTTCTCAATGGCATCAGCACCTTGTTGGATTTCCATCTATTGGAACTGCCACCCAAACATACACTATATCATTTCTCCCTTCTGATCTGGCAGAAGAGCTTGGAGCCAGGATTGAGCGTCAACCCATGTAAGCGAGCTGCATACCAAAACAAGTGGGACTGTCTCAGGTCATTCAGCAGGAACGCATTTGTACAAGTGTCTTGGATGAAGGTGCTGGGGGGACATTTATTAAATCTATATATTACACCAAGTGGAAAGTTTGAAACTGGGCAGCAAAAAAGAGTATATGAAAGGGATTGGGGTATCCTTGTCCACCATAGGCTAAGCATGAGCCAGCAGTGTGATGTAATCATTAAAAAGCAAGGGCTATTTTGGGATGTATTAATTGAAGAAGAGTCCTGGAAGCAGTGGTGGTATTCAGCCATTTCGATCCGGTTCGGGTGAATTGGTAGTGGTAGCAGCGGGAGGCTCTGCCCATCTGCCTGGACATAATCACGTCCTGTTTTGGACACTCTGCACATGCACGGAAGGTTCTGCGCCCGCTCACATTTGCGAACTGGTAGTGTAGGTAAATAATACCACCCCTGCCTGGAAGCAATTGTTCTTCTCAATTCTATCTTGGTCAGATCCCATTTGGAATTCAAGCTTTCAAGTCCAAAAATGTAATTGAGAAATTGGAATTTTAAAAAGGGCTACAAAGATGGTGGAAGATCTGGAAATCAATCCCTCTGAGGCAAGTGTTTCTCAACCTTGGTAGCTTGAAGATGGGTGGACTTCAACTCCCAGAATCCCCAGGCAGCGCTGCTGGCTGGTGGATTCTGGGAGTTGAAGTCCACCCATCTTCAAGCTACTAAGGTTGAGAAACACTGCTCAGAGGAATGGTGAAAGGATCTTGGTATACTTTGCTTTCAAAATAGAGAATTGAGGAGATACGGAAGCAGTCTTCAAGTACTCAAAGGGTTTCATACAGAAGACGATGCAGAGGACCAGTACATAATCAGTGGGTCCAAGAATCACTCGAAGGAGTGAATTATTGAATTATATACGAAGTTATGTATCATTTGAAAGCATTAAAACCATAACATTCATAATGATGATCTATTCTAATACATCAAGGAATTAAACAGGGCTTGAAAATAGAAGCCCAGTCAAGCATCAACAACGTAATTCCAAAACAGATCTGAGGATTCATCGGTACCTTGATAATGTCCAGACCGGGTTGAGGATATTCTAAGACAGGAAGCTGCTCATCTATGTTCATTAATCCAATTTCATCAGGATCTGCTCCTTGGCTCACAAGATACACCACTTCCTGCAATAAACTTGTGCCTGCAAATTATTGAGAAGAATAATAAGACAAAATAGAAGCTTTCCAAGAGACGAGAAAGTTCTCTACTATCAATAGACGATCAACACTATCTTCTTGCATCTTACTGCAGTGTATACTTCTCCAACCTAGTCATCTCCAGATGTGATGGAACTTCAAAACTTTTTTGTAAGCTGCCTAGAATCACTGAAAGTATATAAATTCTTGAAATGAATAAAATCTATAATTTCATCCCGAATAGTCTTTGGAATTATATATGGGAAAGTCCAGTAGACAACAGAATAACAGAGTTGGAAGGGACTTTGGTGGTCTTTTAATCCAACCACTGCTCAAACAGGAAACCTGTACCATTTCAGACAAGTAACCGATCAAGTAACAACTAACTAAATCATCAAATCATAGGGTTGGAAGAAAACTCGGCGTCTTCTAGTCCATATCCCCTACTCAAGCCTAATTGAGCCCTTTATAATTCTCCTACTTTTGCTTCCTGTATCTCTTAATTTGTACTTGTGAGTCCTTTCTTCACCATTTCTCTTGTTGCTATCCAATTTGTGGTTTAACTCTTATTAGTTGGTCATCCTGCCCAGTGGTGGGTTTCAAATTTTTTTACTACCGGTTCTGTGGACGTGGTTTAGTGTGTGTGGCATGGCTTGGTGGGCATGGCTTGGTGGGTGTAGCAGGGGAAGGATACTGTAAAATCTCCCATTCCCACCCCACTCCAGGGGAAGGTTACTGCAAAATCCCCATTTCCTCCCGATCAGCTGGGAATTGGGAGGCAGAGAATAGATGGAGGCGGGGCCAGTCAGAATTTTTACTACCGGTTCTCCGAACTACTCAAAATTTCCACTACCGGTTCTCCAGAACTGGTCAGAACCTTCTGAAACCCACCTCTGACCCTGCCCTACCAGTTTTAGTTTAAAGCCTTTAGGATGAGCAGATGTTTGCCGAACATATTATTGCCGGTCTTCGTCTATGGTCTTCATCCATCTCTTGCTGGAAGCCCTTCCAGCAGGTAATGTAATCCATGATTTAGAAAGCCAAAATTCTCATGAGAGCACCATCTTTTGAGCCAGCAATTTAATTCTTAAGTCCACTGTTCCCTCATTGGATGTTGACCTTCAGTTGAAAGTATAGATGAGATTACCACCTGTGCGCCTAACGTTTTGACTATCCTGCCTTGTTGCTCATCGTCCACTGAAATTGTTTTCAGGCTCTTAGTTGTATCATTCGTCACCACACAAAAGAGGAGAAAGAAATAATAATCAGTGGGCTTCATCATTTCGGTGATGTACCTTCCCCTGAGAATTTGTCTAGTCTACAAATTGTTGACTCTGTTCCTTTAAGTAGTGAATCTCCAATCACCGAGACATGATTTTTTTCTTTGGGGAACTCTAATCTACTTTACTTCTTATCACTGGTAATTTGGCAGGTATTTTCAGGTATCTGTGTTTCCTTCCTGAGGGAAGATATAAAATTGAGAACAGGCAGTCGACTTATAAGACTTCATTTAGTGACCGTTCAAAGTTACAGTAGCACTGAAAAAAAGTGACTTATGACCATTTTATGCTGACTCTGTAAAACCGCTGAGAGAGGGGCTGTAAAGCACTGTGGAGTGGTATATAAGTCTAAGTGCTATTGCTAAATGCTATTTTTCATACTTATAACCGTTGCAGCATCCCCGTGGTCACGTGATTTACATTTAGATGCTTAACAACCGTCTCACATTTATGATGGTTGCAATGTCCCAGTCAGGGGTGGGTTCTAAATTTTTTTACTACCAGTTCTGTGGGCGTGGCTTATTTTGTGGGTGTGGCTTGGAGGTCATGTGATTAGGTGGGCGTGGCTAGCTAGTCAGAATCATTTATGGAAGGTCCTCGCACTTACGACCAATCCTCGCACTTACGACCCAACTCATTTGTTTGCTTTTAACACTGATCAGCTGTAGGACGTCCCTTTGAAGCCCTGCGGCAAGAGTTTAAACAGTTTTTTTTTCCCTCTAGTCATCAGCTGGGACTCAGGAGGCAGCAATAGATTGGGGGTAGGACCAAATAAAAGGTAAGAATAACGTGGAGGGTGGGAGGGCAGGCGGGGAGAACCGGTTCAGTGACGTCATATCGTCACCGCTACCGGCTGGGCCGAACCGGACCGAACCAGGAGGAACCCACCACTGGTCCCAGTGATCCCTTTTTTGTGACCTTCTGACAAGCAATGGTGAAACCAGATTCATTTACTAACCTGGTTACTAAATTAACCACTGTAGTGATTCACTTACCCGCTGGGGCAAGTACAACAGGGCAAAACTCCCTTAGCAAATTTCTCACTTAGTAACATAAATGTTGGGCTCAATTGTGGTCATAAATTGAGGACTACCTGTACTCTATTGCAGAGAGGGAAGGAGCTGCCTTCCTGGTTTGTTTGTTTTTTTGTTCTGACATGCTGCCCTTGCCCTTTTTATTTTCTTGTTTGAATAGAGACTTCCAATTCATCTTTCTTGATGTGTTCAGTTTGGATAGAGAATTTATATAGGAGTTTATCATGTTCATCTTGTTCACCACAGGAACTCAGAGTATCTCTTGTGGGAGTGTCTGCAGTTTTAGTGGTTTGGTTTGCGTCCAGTGTCTTCATTCCTTCCTCAAGTAATCCAACCAAGTGTAATTTGAGTCCTCCTCAGGTAGGAGGACAAACATTGCACCCACTTTGCGTGTAGCAATACTGTTAAGACTCTTTCCCTGTCGTTTTGTTTTTTCCTCATGCAAAAATTTATTTGTTTTATTTTTTATAACTCCCTAGAGCCGTGATGGCAAACCTATGGCACGGGTGCCACAGGTGGCACACGGAGCCATATCTGTGGGCATGCGAGCGTTGCCCTACCTCAGTCCAGCACGCATGTGCGCGCTGGCCAGCTGATTTTCGGGCCTTCCGGGCCCACCGGAAGTCGGGAAACGGGCTGTTTCCGGGCTTCCGGAGGGCCTCCAGGGGAGTGGGGAAGGCTGTTTTTGCCCTCCCCAGGCTCCTAGAAAGGCTCTGGAGACTGGGCAGGGCAAAAAAATGGGCCTACTGGGTCCACCGTGCCATCGTGTGCCAAAAGCGGGGGGAGAGTGGGGGGTCACACGCTCATATGTGGGGGGACAGGGCGCATTGAATTATGGGTGTGGGCACATGCGCGCACAATCCCCCCCACTACCCCCGCTTTTGGCACACGACGGCAAAAAGGTTAGCCATCACTGCCCTAGAGGTAAGAAATCTTTATAAAAGGTAAATAACATATAAAATGACAGGAAAAAACATAAAAAATACATATAAAACTATGAAACATATGTATATCTCTGTTAAAAATATGTACAAATAAAATAAAATAAAAAATAAAGGTAAACATGCACACACACACCTGTATATAAGGTTAATTTATACTCTAAAATAAGCCATATTATGGTTTGCGTGGTTGGGGTTTAGCACCTAAGAAGATTGTATCCTAAGGTTTAACTCAACCAGTTTTAAGCTTCGTAAGCAACCCAAGAACAAAAGAGAGTTGAAAAATAAGTCTGAATTTACAGTATCGTCTGCAGTTTATAAAACAATTTTCTCTGAAGCTTGGAGGAAATCAAGTAGAAGCTTTTAGTACTGGCAGCAGGTCATAAATATTTCAAATGTGCAACTTCAGAAAGCAATAAAGATGCAGTCAGCTGGTCTAATCGGGCTTTTGCATGCTATTGTAGCTTCTCTACTACATTTGATTAAATCTTTGCCCAGAAACTGGGAAAATCCTTCATAGCAAAAATGACGGGATGGTAGCCTACGCAGATGCAAAACAAACATATAGATGTGAAACATCCGGGCCTTCAAGCATCCTTTTTTTCCTGCTGGCCTACGTGACAACCTGTTTAGTCTTGCAATGTACAATGTACAACTCCTCTAAAAAGGAGCTGATGGATTCGCACCAGTGATGGGTTCCTCCCGGTTCGGTCCGGTTCGGCCGAACTGGTAGCGGTGACAATATGACGTCACCGAACCGGTTCTCCCCCCCCCGCCCCCCCACCCCCAACCCCCCACATTATTCTTACCTTTTATTTGACCCCACCCCCAATCTATTGCTGCCTCCTGAGTCCCAGCTGATGACTAGAGGGAAAAAAACTGTTTAAACTCTTGCCGCAGAGCTTCAAAGGGCCGTCCTACAGCTGATCAGTGTTAAAAGCAAACAAATGAGTCGGGTCGTAAGTGCGAGGACTGGTCGTAAGTGCGAGGATCTTCCAGAAATGACTGACCAGCTAGCCACACCCACCTAGTCACAAGACCTCCAAGCCACACCCACAAAATAAGCCACGCCCACAGAACCGGTAGTAAAAAAATTTAGAACCCACCCCTGATTCGCACCTAATGCTCAGTCCTTAACTGTGCCTTATAATTAAGCTACAATGCTACTATGAACATATCATATTAGGATTTACAGACCTAGAGCTGAGTTTAACCTCTTGGGAACAATGTGTTCTCCTGCTTTACTAAGCAGCTTTTTCAGAGAGAATAGAATAGAATAACAGAGTTAGAAGGGGCCTCGGAGGTCTTCTAGTCCAACCTCCTGCTTAGGCAGGAAACCCTATTTCATTTCAGACTAATGGTTATCCAATCTCTTCTTTAAAACTTCCAGTGTTGGAGCATTCACAACTTCTGGAGGCAAGTTGTTCCACTGATTAATTGTTCTAACTTTCTCCTTAATTCTAAATTGCTTCTCTCCTTGATTAGTTTCCACCCATTGCTTCTTGTCCTGCCCTCGGGTGCTTTGGAGAATAGCTTGACTGCCTCTTCTTTGTGGCAGCCCCCGATATATTGGAACACTGCTATCTTGTCTCCCCTAGTCCTTCTTTTCATCAGACTGGACATACCCAGTTCCAGCAACCGTTCTTCATATGTTTTAACTAATCATCTTTGTTGCTCTTCTCTTTCTAGAGTCTTGAACTACCAAATACTGATAATTTTCTGTTAACCACAGCTGCAATTTAATGCAAGCAAACAGAACAAACTAAAAATATAGAAACATGAATTTAACCGAGCAATACCTGGTCCTCCGGGTGGCATCTAATAGCCATCATGTCAAAGCAATAGGAATGGCAGTCCTACAGCTTCCAGAACGTCTCCTACTGTTAAGTCCTGCCTTAGGAATCGTGGTGCAGAGTACAGACTACAAGAATGTGGCTTCCCAAGGTCAATCAATATCTGATCCGAGGGGCTGGCTTGAATTCATACCTCTTTGCTCCCAGCTCAAATCTCTTCACTGTTTTTCCCAAATCATCTCTGGGACATTGAGGGAAAGGAGTACATGGCCACTGCGCTGTGGCCGACCCAACTTGGCTTCTTCTCCTGCCCCCTGAAGCACGCTCTTTGTATTTGCAATTGATTTTTAATTTCCAATTGATGTGAGCCAGACAAGGACAGTCAAAGGACTGGAAGTGGCCCAAGGCTATACAATGCCTTGGGTCTTGTTGAACAGCATGGCAGATTTGGTTCTTTCAGACTTGCAAAATTCTGTTCAAGTGGTCTTACAATAAAGTAGCATTAGCACTTCTGGTCATGTTTCCTGTCTGGCTTACCCAGGAAGGTTGAAATCAATCTGACAATTCTGAAAGTACCCATGCTCATTATGCAGAGACCATTAAGAACATTAGGCCACAAGAATTAACCCAAATGGACTTCTGTGCTCTTTCCTAACATCTTTCTGCTTGGAGACAGGATAGGTCAGGGGTCCCCAACAGCTGGGCCTAGGCTTATTCGGAACCCGGGCCACGGAAGCGGTGGGTAAGTGCACGCATGCGTGCGCAGCTCCACTTCTGTGAGCAGCAGGCAAGCGCACATGTATGCAGCTGGCGAGGGTGCCTGTCGATCGTGCAAAGGGAACTGCGCGTGCACGCTCGCCTGCTGCTCGTTCATAACCATTCTCTTTCTCTCCCCACCCCTGGCCGTCTGCAAAGCCAGAAAGGTTGGGGGGGGGTCGCTGGGATATTCAACGCCATAAATATGGATTGATTCACATGTCCAATTGAAAGAACTGTTTCCTGTCTGCTTTGGAATAACCTTGTTTTGTTTTGTTTTCATCTTAGCAGCTTCTATTGAGATCCCTTGTAGCCTGAGCATCTGGAACATGTCAGGAGGATGGGAAGACTGAGAAAATGGGAAGACTGAAGACTGCAACGTTAAGCAGGAAAGAATCCGTTTTCTCCCTCTGCAACATCCATATGGACCAGTCCACCTTTGCATCACCTGCCTTCCCTCTCAGATGTCCTGTAACTCAAGGCTCACTGTTTTCCTTCAACATCGGCCTCCCCCCATCTAGCCAACAAGCATTATCCATTCAAGCAGGAACCAGGCCTGACCTGGTATAGCTTGTGAGGCTGGCTAATTGCTCCATCAGCACTGAGCTGTGTTGGTAACCTAGAGGAGGGTGGAAAAATCCCTCTGTGATTCACCTCTGTTGATCTGAAAGTGAGACCTTTCTTTATTAACAAAGGTTATCTCTTGTGCAAGTGCCTCCCTAATAATGCTTTCAATCTGAATTACTATTACTATTATTATTATTATTATTATTATTATTATTATTATTAATATTTAGCAGCAATCCGTATCAACCATTAGCACCAGTCAATGGTATTTGTGATGCATTTTTGAATGTTCAGTTGACTGAGTTTCATATTTAATGAATAAAGATAATAATAATAATAATAATAATAATAATAATAATAATAATAATATCATCCCGTAGCAACCATTAGCACCAGCCAATCGTATTTGTGACACAGTTTTAAATGTTCAATTGCCTGAGTTTCATGTTTCATGAATTAAAAGAGATAATAATAATAGGTTTTTTTTAAAAAAAAATATTAATGCATAAAAACGCGTAGCATCTCAGCCTACAGCCTTCAGGTACGGAAGAAAAAAAACAAAATCATTTGCAATGTACATATTTCACCTTGCATGTTTCAGGCCCTTAAAATGGGCATCACCGCTATCAAGCCCATCATCCCCCGCCCCCAACTCCCCTAGGCCTTAATCCTTGGTCCAACCTAGTTAGATGCGAGGCCCTTAAAATGGGCATCGCCGCTAGCAAGCCCATCATTCCCCCCCAACTCCCCTAGACCTTAATCCTTGGTCCAACCCAGTTAGATGCGAGGCCCTTAAAATGGGCATCGCCGCTAGCAAGCCCATCATCCCCCCCCGAACTCCCCTAGACCTTAATCCTTGGTCCAACCCAGTTAGATGCGAGGCCCTTAAAATGGGCATCGCCGCTAGCAAGCCCATCATCCCCCCCCGAACTCCCCTAGACCTTAATCCTTGGTCCAACCCAGTTAGATGCGAGGCCCTTAAAATGGGCATCGCCGCTAGCAAGCCCATCATCCCCCACTCCGAACTCCCCTAGACCTTAATCCTTGGTCCAACCCAGTTAGATGCGAGGCCCTTAAAATGGGCATCGCCGCTAGCAAGCCCATCATCCCCCTGCCCCCAACTCCCCTAGGCCTTAATCCTTGGTCCAACCCAGTTAGATGCTCAGAAGGAAGTGAGCCAGACAGGTAAGGGTCAAGACCTTATAATATCATTATTATGAAAAAAACGAGGACCACCGGAGTTAACCTATCACACACCCTTCAAAAGGCAACCCAAAAAACCCCACCCCAGGAAAAACCCAGCGGCAACCCGCAGAGGTTTGTGAGGGATGCTTCCACATGGGAAGAAGAAGCCAAGTCGCCTCTTCTCCAGGCCAAGAAGGAGAAGCCAAGAATTCTAGTCAGGCAGCGACGAGGCTCCGTTCTGCTGGCCGTCTCGCAACCTGACTGGGGGTTGGGAGAGAGAGATGAACCTGTGAGGTAAACCTGGGGTGGGGGTGGGGGCTGCCCTCCCCTCCTCTCCTCTCCCTCCGGCGGCCTCCAGAAGGCCAAAAGCCGAGCAATTTGGGGCTTGGCACCGGAGTCAGGTGGGCGAAGGAGAAAACCGGGAGAGGAAAAGAGGCGGAGAGAGAGAGAGAGGGAGAAGAGGGGATGGAGGGATGGAGGGAGACGGCCCCCCCCCCGCAGCGCAACCCCGCCTCCTACCTGATTTGGGGTAGGTAACAATCCAGACGTCGCTGTCTCGCACGGGGAAATTGGTGATCTCCTCCATCTTCCCCCGGCAGAAGGGCGGCAGGCGCACCCCGTTGTACTCGAAGTACTTGCTCTCGAACTCCCCGGGCGTGCTGGGGGTCTCGCACTCGCTCTCCGCCATCCTCCGGCCGCGGAGCCCCACCGGGAGCCGGCTGCTTGCAAAGGGCGCAAGGGGAGGGTGGGGGGGACGCTGCTGCCTTCCCGGCGCGAGAGAAGGAGCCCGGCCGCCCAACTCGCTCGCTGTCTCGCTCGCTCGTCCGTCGGTCGGTCGGTCAGCCAAGCTGGGCGCCAGCTCCGGTCAGCGGCAAGCTTTGCGTTCGGCGGGGCCAAGCAGGAACCGGCCTTCAGCGAATGGGCTCCGGGGGCGATGATGTAATGCGACGTCGCTCAAGAGGAGGAGGAGGAGGAGGAGGGATGAGGCAGCCGCCGCCGCCGCCGCTGCACAGCGGAGTCGAAGCCCGCCCGGCTTAACCCTCAGCGTGCCTGGCGTCTGTCGCCGCCTTGGCTCCCTCCCTGGCGCCAGGCTCGCTCGGGATCCCGGAGCGAAGTGAGCTTGGGCTGTGAGGGATGAAATCCCGCAGGTTCTGGTGAACCGGTAGCGGAAATCTTGAGTAGTTTGGAGAACCGGCAAATACCACCTCTGGCTGGCCTCAGAGTGAGGTGGGAATGGAGATTTTGCAATATCCTTTCCCTGCCATGCCCACAGAACCAGTAGGGAACAGTTTTGAATTTCACCCCTGGATGGGGGGGCTCCCACTTGCAGGCGGCCTTCCTATGGGAGATGATCAAGAGCAGCCCCGTGGAGAACCCGTGTTGTTTGCACGTCAACCGGGTTCACACGACCCTGATCAGACACTTTCCCCAATCTGAACGCCGCCCACCCAGCAGTTAGGCAGGTCAATTCTCACCCGCTCAAGGTTGACTCAGCCTTCCATCCTTCCGAGGAAGCGGTACATAAGTGCTATTGCTATTCTTTTGACTCTTTTAAGTTGGTTGTGGGAATGCAGACTTTTGTGGGCAGAGATCCATTACTGATTTTTTTAAAAAGTTGCTTCTGGAAAAAGCTCACACCGTGTGCTAAGTCACAACTTCTTGGCTGTGGCTCATTAAATAAATCACAGTTGTGATAAATCTAGTGCCGCTCTAAGCTATAACCTTGATTTACAAACCATGGTGGCTGCGTTCACCATTATACAGTAAGCAATCCACAAATTAACAATGTTATATCTGACTGTGATGAATGGGATTCATACAAATGGATTCAATATAGTGAATTCAATTCCCATACCATTCCATACCCTACCCCACCCTACCCTACCCTACCCTACCCTACCATCAGGGTGGATAAAAATCAATGATTTTTTTTAAAATAAAAAAATCAGATTTTTTTTATTTAAAACGGATTTTTTTTATTTTTACCGAATTTATTTTAATAAAAAACTTGTGGTAAAAATCTATCATAAGATAGTTTTTAAGATATGTAAGAAATAATTTAGTTTATTCAGCATGAAATGGAGCTTAGTTATGTAGCATGAGGCTGTATATTCTGCAACACTGGGACTATCGGTGAGTCAACAGTGGGTCAAAGGAGTAGCAGAGATGACAGTTGCTCTTTAAAAATGATGGTTTAAATCAAGTTGATTTAAATCAAGCCTTTTTACTAGTGATTTAAATCATGATTTAAATTGTGATTTAAATCAACTCGATTTAAATCAAATCCACCCTGCCTACCATACACCAAATACAATACGTACAATTTTTAGTGGTGGTTCTAGTGCTAAGTGTCTATTTCAACTACTGGGAGATTATATAACCCAAAAACATGGAGTCTAATGGATACTGTGCTGTTTAATATTGCAAGAGGTGGTAGAGGGCTCCTCCGAAAATCCACTCCCTCTACAGTTTTAAGCATGTTCAGCTCTAGATTGTTCCGGCTGCACCACAGGGCCAGTTGTTCAACCTCCCATCTATATGGAGACTAATCACCATCTTGAATGAGATCAATAACTGTTGTATCATCTCCACAGCCCTCCTTAGGGATGTAGTCATTGGTATAGAGCAGGGGTGTCAAATGGCAACCCGCGAACTGGATGTGTCACATGCAGGCCACACCCAGCCCAGCTCCGCAAAGGGAAAAAAACAGCTTGGTTTGGTGGTGGGGGTGTCCTGTGACTGAGTGGGTGTGGCCAACTCAATGTCACTCACAGCCACGCCCACTCAGTCACAAGACCCCCCTCCCCTAAGTCACGCCTACAGAACCGGTAGGAAAAAAATTTTAAATTTCTATTCTGCCGGAGTGTCCTTACCTTTCTCCCGCGGCTCCGCCCACCCGCCCCATTCCCCGGAGTCGGGGAATGCACCATTCTCCGACTCCTACTGCTCACCTTTCTCCCGCAGCTGGCTGTCAGGGAAGGCAAGCGCCCGAAAGATACCAGAATCGCTCGCTCTCCTTCTTGAATGAGCCACTCTGGTCCACGCGCCAGCTGCGCAACCTGCCACTGAATTAAATAAACGGTGTGCACTTGCGCAGCCAGCACGTGGACCAGAGCGGCTCATTCAAGAAGGAGAGTGAGCGACTCCGGTATCTTTCGGGCGCTTGCCTTACCTGACAGCCAGCCGCGGGAGAAAGGTGAGCAGTAAGAGTCGGGGAATGGTGCATTCCCTGACTACGGGGAATGGGGCGGATAGATGGAGCCACGTGGCAAAGGGCGAGCAGGCAGCGGCTCCGTGGCAAGGTCAGAGTTGGGGAATGGTGCATTCCCCGACTCCGGGAAATGGGGCAGGTGAGCGAAGCCTCCAGCTGCCATTGCTACCGGTTCTCCAAACCACCGGCCATCATCACTACCTACTCGCCCGAACCGGTCCAAACCGGGAGCATTTCACCCCTGGAAAAAACGTTGCGAAGCATCACGTGACAGCAACATGACACCATGAGTTTGTTGACACCTGTGGTATAGAGAGAGAAGAGTAATGGAGACATCACACAGCCCCGATGAGCACCTGTGCTAATTGTCTGGGTACACATCATTGATGTGATTTTTCCCTAGCTTTACCTGTTGCTTCTTACCTGTCAGAAATCTTATAATCCACCTACAAGAATGGACAAGTAGGGCAAGCTGAGTCAGGTTAGAGTGAAAGTTTCTGGAATGATGGCATTGAATGCCAGGCTGAAGTCTACGAAAAGGATCTGTGCATAAATCCCTGGGAATTCAAGATATTGCAAGGTTTAGCGCCTATTGACAGCATTATCTGTTGATCTATTTGAGCAACAGGCAAACTGCAAGAAGTCAAACAGCGGATCCATGATGAATTTCAGGTGAGTCAGCAGTAACCTTTCAAACGTCTTCATAACTACAAATGTCAGAGCAACCAATCTATAGTCATTCAGTTCCTTGACGAAGGGTTTCTTGGAAACCGGGGTGATGGTAGAACAAGAAGGAACATAAAATCTCCAGTGATTTATGAAAGATGAGGGTGAAGATGGAGGCCAGTTGGTCAGCACAGGCTTTCAAGCAAGAAGGAGTTTCTGGAACTACTGCTTTTCTAGTCTTTTATCTATGAAACAGATCTTGCACCAGGGTTGGTATTCTACCGGTTCAGGTGAACCAGTAGCTCCGACGATCAGGTGGGCCCTCCTGCCTGCCCCTGCGCTTTACTGACCTATATCTTCTCAGCTGATTCGCACCGCAGAGCAGATTGCCGCGCCTCAGCTGTGTTACTCCCCAGCAGTAATGCGGAAGGTAAGTTTTTGTAAAATGGTGCACGCGCGCACAGCACACGATCACCGAACCAGTTGTTAAACCGGCAGGATCCCACCACTGCCTCACACATCTTTTTCTCAGATCACCAAGAGATGGGGGGCCCAGAGGGATGAAGATAGGTGTAGGAGATTTGGCTATTGTTGGCATATCTGAGATGGGGAGGTGTTAAGGAATTCGTGGAGTAACCCTTGAGTAGCAAGGGTGTGTACATGAAAGCGATTGAGAGTAGTTACAAATAAACACAGTCAACACACAGATACACTGAATTGTGTTTACTTTCAGGAAATAGTAAGGCATAGTCCAATAAACAGTCCAGGTCATACACATATAAAGCAGGAGATAGTCAAAATGACAGTCCAGGGATAATCCAATAACGAAGTCTTCTTACCAGTTGTTGTAGTCATTCACAATAAACAGTTCTTCTGGATTTGCATACAGAGATATACAGAGCAAGAACAGCAAAGAGAAACAAACCATGTTTCTAGCTCCCTCTTAAGGACATTGGCTACAGAGCTAACCAATCGGGACACAGTATGATGCAATACAACAGTCTTAAAAGCTACATTGATGGTTTATATATTGCCAACCCAACAAGTTAGGTAATAGTCATTTCCTAACAGGAGGATAACAATAATTGACAGTGGTCTCTTCTCAAAACTACAGTAGAACACATTCAGGTCATCTGCCAGTTGCCGATTCTCTTTTGTAAGGGAGGGAGATCTGCTGTAGCCAATGATATTCTTAAGACTTCTCCACACATTTGCTGGTTCATTAGCTAAGAACCAGTTCCTCAGTTTTTCAGAGCAGCTTTTCTTTGCTGGCAGGATCTGCCTTGTTAATACATTTCTGACCTGGTTGTACAGCATCCTATCCAGGAGTGAAATCTAAAAATTTTTGCTACCGGTTCTGTGGGCGTGGCTTAATTAGTGGGAGTCGCTTGGTGGTAAGATGACTGGGTGGGCGTGGCCAAGTCAATGTCACTTCTTTGCCCTTTTTTAACCTACAAAACACAACACAACACAACTGGCTCACCCACAATGTAAAAGCAGCTGTGCTAAACCCAAAATGGCCCCTGCAACAAGCAGGAACCTCACAGCCCAAATAACCAACTTTCACACTTTACACACACAAAATTCCACATACAGGTTTGTGAGATTTTGTGTGTTTGTATAGTTAGAGTGAAACACTACAGAAACACACTAAATCTCAGAAAGCTGTACAAATATTATTTTATTTTAATTTATTTTTATTTTTATATAAAAGCAGCTAAATTTAAAACTTCCTAAACTTTAAATGGCTAGGTCTAAAAAAAAGAACAACTAAAAAAAACCCCAATTAACTATTTCTTTTAAAGCTCCCAAAGGGGAAAAAAACTTACCCAATAGAACAGGGGTCTCCAACCTTGGCAACTTTAAGACTTGTGGACTTCAACTCCCAGAATTCCTCAGCCAGCTTTGCTGGAAGTTGAAGTCCACAAGTCTAGGCAGGAGGGCAGGCAGGCAGATAGAGCTGCTCACTGATGAGCTTGATTGCAGGCAAAGAGATTCAGTTGCTTGCTGATGCAATGGATTACAGGTATTACAGCAAGTGAAGCAAGGCAGGCGTTGCAACCAGCAGCTAAGGT